GTGTTCAATTTCGACGATATTCACTGTTGCCGGGAGCGATCGTAAGCACGGCCTCCCAGGCTGATACCCTGCAATATTATAAAAGGTGTTGCAGCCTGGCATAAGTACATCATTGACGCCCCTCTTCTATCAGCAATGTCCATCGAACGCGTTCCGAAAGACACCTTCAGCCAGTCAGTCGACGCTCCTGTCGATGCCGCCCCCGGGCAGCTTAACATTGGGATCATTGGTGCTGGTCTTGTTGGCTTGGCCACCGCTGCAATGCTGCGCAAGCAAGGGCATAAAATTACGGTCAGCTTGTTCAAGCTTGACGGCTTGGTTACGACTAACTTGAACAATGTTCAGATCTTCGAATCCTCCTCCTTCCACGCCGAGATTGGGGCTGGAATTGTTCTCACCCCAAATGGCGTGACCGTGCTGAAGGGGCTCCTTCCTGAGCTAGTGTGGGAAAACCTGCAGACCGTCGATTTTCGCTCAGTAAGCGTTGCCTCCCTGAGAACTCTGCAGTCCACTGATGATACTTCCGCGCAGTTCGAAAACTTTGGCTCAGATGGAACACGTCATCCAGCCATCGACCTCTCCGAGGGCTGGAAGAGCTATCCTGAGGCGAGTCCATGTTCCTCGCATTGGAATGTGTATCTAATCCATTACATATGCAGGGTTGGTACATGGCCCATCGCGTCGACCTTCACAAGGAGTTGATGCGCCTCGCACTGGACCCTGACGTCCATGCTCACCCAGCCGCCGTCGTCCGTCTCGGCACACCCATCACCGAAATTGGTTTCTCTGAGCATCCTTCTGTGACTGCGTCCACCGGCGAAGAGTTCAAATTCGACCTCGTTGTGGGTGCGGATGGTATCAAGGTCCGAAATCAACATGTTATACTCTACTCGATGTCGCTGACTATTCTTATAGTCGACCGTCCGCTCTCGCATGGTTGGCGGTGAATACGACGCACCTTCCGGCCCCATGGCATTCTACCGTTGGATGCTCGACCTCAAGAAGAACCCCGAGCTCGCCTGGATTCGCGATGATCGTCCGACGAGCGGCCCCACCAGCGTGATTGGGAAGAGTATCTTCCTCTTCATGTACCCTATCCGCAATGGCAATCTTATCAACATCTCCGGTGCGCATCTCGACAAGCGCCCGGATGCCGACAACGTCGGTATGTCGCGCCCGCAGATAGTTTATGTTTTGACCACATGATACTAATGTGAGTGGCGGCAGACTGGAACGAGGAGGTACCAAAGGAGGCGTTCCTCAAATCTTTCGAAGACTACGGCGATAAATTCAAGCCGATAGTGGCCGTCGCCGAAAAGCCGCACATTTGGAAGGTCAAGGCGCTGCCCACTCTCCCCACCTGGACGAAAGGGAACGTAGTCCTCGTTGGCGACGCCGCGCATGCTATGCTGCCCAGTGTGTAATTTCACTCCTTCATCGCCAGCTCAATTTGACCTCAGTAGCATACGGCATTGGTTTTGCTATCGGACTGGAGGACGCTGCAACAATCGCGACTCTCCTCCCCCGCGGTACCAAGGCTTCCACCGTTGCCGCGCGTCTCAAGGCGTTCGAAGAGGTCCGCAAGCCACGTGCCGAGCGCGTCTCGCAGATGAGCGCGGACGGAATCAAGCAGGGTGGGAAGACACAGTGTATGTCTTTATCTCGTCCACCTTGCGTTTCAACGACATTAAGCTATCTCCTCCGTAGTCTCGTGGGTTGTGCCGGAGCTGTACGACTATGACGTCCTCGGCACTGCTAAGGTGGCTTCGGAGAAATTTTGAAGGGTCTATATCCGCGTGGCTAGTATATCTTAGCCACTAAATCAGGTTACGAGTTACAGACTTGTCACTTCAATATGCATGATTCTTGATTGATTACTAGGACTGAACAAACAGAGTATCAACAGCACTTTCAAGATTTAGCTCTCTGCTGTGCGACCTATGACATTCTTACAGGGTTAGTATTCACCCTTTTCTTTTGTTTCGATATTTACGCGTCTTCTGTTTGGACTTGCATTGTGATCTCCCATCAACGTGTCTATCACGTGAGGGTGTGCTCAAATCCGGTTTAAAACCTTCAAAGTTCAAAATCCCTTCCTGGTTTAGTCTTTCTTCCAATCTCTTTTCCATTTGTGTCAGATTAGAACACGCTCTTTTTTGACCGAGTTGACAGGAATCTTTCTTTATGTGGCATTTTATATCAGCTTTTGCGCGCATAATCTCAGTCAGCTCAGCGCTCAGTGCCAGGCTGCCTGGCTTTTCACCAATTGAACTTGAATTGAACTCCAACTTCAAGGTCTAGATCTGGACACTCTTGGCGACCTTACCAACGTGACAGGGATCCAGGCGACGTCAGATAGGCAGCTCCCGGACAGTTCGCCCTCGGTCGACGCCAAGTCTTCATTGCGTCTTCCACAGACAGCACGAAAATGGTCTCAGTCACCCACTTCCAAATCACAGCCTCCGTGGCCACTTTGCGGTGGAGGCCGATCCGTTTCCCAGGGCTCCTCAATAACCCTCGCCCGAAATTCAAAAATACTTCCGGAGCAACTTGAACCGCCTCGTGTTCGACTGATTGGCGCGCAACTCATCGGTGACAGGTGCCGTAATTCGAATGTTTTTCGCGTTACGATGCGTGACGGAGATCTCTCGTCAAGTCGTCTTCCCCCGTTCCCCGCCGTCCTCATTCACCATCTCTTTTATCCGCAGCTTCCTTCGGCGCATCTCTCCTCAAGCCTGGTTTACTTCAGAGCGTTCAAGAGAGCAAGACCGCTCTGATTGGCGTCTCATTCAAGCCTCTCGTCCCACAATGACCTCCGAGTCGCCCATGTCGTTGGACTTTACGGAGGACTTTTCTGAGGTGTGGCAGGTGCTCGTGGATGCGCGAACCACAAACTCAATGATCCGTGTGTCATTCATCGACTACTCCTTCGGACGCATTTTGACTTACTCTGCCATGTTTGTAGTCGGAGCCCTGTCCCTTGTTGCGTACGTCCTCTTTCCCGAATTTGTATACGTAGCTTATCGCCTATCGCTTGGGCTCACCCAGGTTTGACCATCTAATAACGTTCCAAGATGAGGTGGAGTTAATGTGGAAGAGCCGGATATGCACGACGAGCGTGGTCTATGTCCGTATTTTATCGTTACCTCCCGTGCAGACTGGCTCTGATTCTGCCCCTCCAGCTCTGGGTACGTTCCGAGCCCCAGATAATGACCTCACAATTGCTGACTTCTACGTCCCAGAATCGATATTTTACTCTGCTTGCTTTAATGTACGCCCGCCGCTATCTCCCGTGTTAGTGCTCATGATCGACGCTCCCCAGCATCGACGCGTGTGGTGCGCTCCCCATTCCAGTGGCCAACAGTCCCACTGACTTGAATTTCAGTGATGCTGAGTCCATTCAAGTCGAATGCCGTGCGTTGTCTTTCTTTGCAACTAATGACTCCAAGTCTATTGTTGCGTCTGGGCCCAGGCGTATGACCTCGTCCGATCCCTGTCTCTGTAAATCCCTACTGATAATTTTTCGGTCTCCAGATGCATTAGCTTTTTCAACGTCGGTTCCCATCTCGTACGATTCACAGGAGACTGACATTGCCTTCTAGGGGGAGGCGGTTTATTCTACACTCATCCTCGCGACGGTGGACTTTATATTGGTCCTGAGGTGTGTCCAATTCTGCCGTTCACGGTTTGTCTCTGATATGTAATACGCCGACCAGGGTTTGGATTCTGTACGGCAAGAATCGGCGGTTATTATATGTGCTTGTACCAATGATCGGACGTGAGTTCCGCTGCACTTTTTATAGCTGAATGCTGACCGTGCCGCAGTGGAGATTATGACCATGTAGGTGGCCTCTTCCTGTGCTTAATTTGTGGCGGGATTTCGAGCAATCTAAAGGGGTGTTGTATCTCATTACACGATTGCTTCCGTGAAAGGTAAGCCATATGAGTGTCGTTCGCTTTGACACCCTATTGAAGATGTCCAGAGTATTGGCCACTTCCGTGCGTACCCTGCCGATTCTACCACCACGGATACTGAAAGCACGCAGCTGGCCACTCTCGGGATGCTACCCCCGCGGTACGTCTGCGCTGTCCGCACCCATGGATATAATGTTCTGATCGCCTGCTCGTAGGGAATGTCCCGCGATACTTCGCATTCTACTCCGTGCCTGTGCTCGTTGTGGTACGCCGGATTTCTCCAAATCCCCGGTTTCCGGGCTCATCCAATCTTGATAGTCCATGGCAATGTTCCTCATGACAGTGTACAAATGCGGCAAGACACTGCTCACACACGGGCGCGCGCAGATGCCGATCTACAACATGTTCCTCAGGGACGGCGTCTTCTGGTTTGTCGCAATATTCAGTCAGTGGTCCTCGAATCCATTCCAACTCGTGCAAATTAACTTTAGTTCTTCTTCAGTCACGTTCATTCCCGAGGTGGTCATTTGGGCGCGCGCGAGGCAATCCCTAGCCGAGCTACTCATAGCGTGAGGATTATCTAGCTCGTGCGGAACCTTTGGCTCGCTAACATACCAGCCTTCTTCAGTCCAGGACTAGCGTAAGCGCTATTCCTTGACGCGTATCCAGCAAAATCTGACCCTTCGTGTCCCAGCGTCACCTCAATAATCGGCTCCCGCGTGCTCTTGAACATCAAGGGCCTGCAACCTCCGAGGGCGCTGCCCACGACGACAACCGACGCGACGTCGCAGTTAGCGATGGGGCCGACGGTGGAGTTGGATACGATTGATTACCCGTCACGGAGCGGATGGGGCACGGTGGGGACAATGGGAGATGGGCATGGCGGGACGGAGATCCTCTCGGGTCTTCCATGATATTGTGTACGAATATATCGCACCTTCACCGGATCTTCAGGTGCGAGCACCAGCAGCTGCTGGGCATCGTTGCAGTAGGTACGCGACAGTGGTGAACTGCAGATGTAGTGTCGTTCAAAAATAATTGCGACTTTCCCTTCTGCGATGCTGGGATAACTAGATGCAAAACGATACACTGAAAGGGAGTCGAACCCCTGCCGCTTGCTGAGCCAATTCGCGATTGGAAGGCAAGGATGATACCGCTTCACCACCAGTGTGCAGCGGCCGGTTGAACAACAGACGTCAGGCCGGTGCTGGGTGAAATCGCCAGAGGAATTTAACCATAAGTCCGAGTAGGGCTGCAATGCCTGCGTGAAAGAGTCAAAGACGGACGACTAGTTCCATTGATTAATATTGAATATTGTCTCAACAATCCTCAACAACGTAAAGGGTCACGTGGGGTTGGCGATCAGATCATCGCATCAACTCTCACTCTCAACTCACTCTCACTCTCTCATTCTGACGGTGCGCGCTTCCTTCTCTGTGTGCTCGATTCATCAAGCCTCAGTCGACCCAGGTCCACATAGACACTGCTTGCCAGGACAATGCCCCAGTTTGCGCAGGAACTTGTGGACCATTGTGTCAGTTTCTTGGAAGGATCTGTCGCTGACCTCAAGGCATCTTCCCTGGTGCAGCGCAACTGGGTCCGCCCATCCCAGTTCCATCTGTTCAAGGACATCGATCTGACATACAAGGAGTCCTCTCCCGCCACAGAGAGGCTATGCCGTCGGTTTCTGGCAGTTTTGGATCGCTCGCCACATCTCACCCGTTTCATCACTCGACTCACGCTGAATACATACATCATGTCTATTCAGACTGTGGAACGGCTCGCCGATACTCATTTCACCCATCTGCGGCAGCTCGTCGTATTCAACAGGATGATGAAGGGTTTGTTCGGAGAAACCTCCCCTCGTCTTTTCCCCCACTTGCAAAAGCTCTTCCGTCTGCCCACCATCGAAGAATTGAGCGTCCAATTTGATTTCAACCCTGGGAGAGGGGTTCCCTCCCACTTTTGGGATCTCTGGATAGGATGCTCCCCCAATCTTCGCCATCTGGGGCTACAGATAAACGGCGCGCAAGAGTCCCGCAATCAGACGCCCCCATCTCTGGGTTCCACCATACCCGCGCGAATCAGCCTCGAATCTCTCCACGTTACTTCCGCCTTCGCCCTCACTCACTGGGTGCAGGACGCTCGCTGCCCGTTTGACTTTGCCCACATAACGACACTGCGTATCGGCCACGACAGTCTGGTGCCCCACTGTGACGTATTCCGCCCCATACTTGGCAATATACAGCTTCTCGATTTCACTTCTCACCGTGTAAGTTATCATCCGTACGATTAACATTGCCGCTCACTAATTCCCAGAACTTTCCCGCCTTCGACCTTGGTGTATTCACCGGTTTGTCCATCATCCGGATATCAATACCGACCCCCGAATCTCTTGAGCTGGGACTGCAGACCCTGTCCACGCTGTCCTCTGAACGCGCCATCGAGAGGATCGAATTCTATTCCACCGAGTTGGATCGGACCGATTATAATCGGATGGACGAATGCTTAAACGGGAAGCCGATTGCGTTGGTGCATTTCGATGAATCATGCACAATGAACGCTTCTTATTCCGTTGATTCCGCCGCATTTCCTCTTCTCCTTGAGCGCAATGCGATTCAGTCACCACCGGTCGAGAGGTGGCTGTTCGGGTCTCATGCTTGTGTCTTTATTTGAGGTAAGCCGCCCTCTCGCGCTGTTGATTCAACGCATGGTTGACTGCATGATAGCTATTCCCACAGGGGGTATTGGCCCAGAAGTGCTTCCATACCAGTTCACTCTCTACTGAGTGTGGAGCTTTACATATGCGCTTACAAGGACGTTTATTCGAAAGCCCATTCCACTTCATTCTCAATTCAGGATTTGACAATATAAATCATCGTCTGCGTATAGAAGACCTCGCCGAACCCAAAGTAAGTGAAAGTCCGCGCCTTTTTGCCGCCTCGTGCGGCCCGGATCGTCTGAAAACTCAGAACTGACTGCTCCACCTACTTACTTCCGCCTTCCGCATGCCAGCATAAACGCGGGGCTTCCGCTACCCCAATAATACCGCCTGGAATACTGCCAAGCGCCTCAACGCTTATCAATGGGATGTACTATGAATGAGAGAAGGTAAGTCTCCCGAGTCTTTCGCAAAGCGGAGCTTAATATTCTATTTCTTTGTAAGCGACAGTCGATCCTGCGGGAGCCACAACTACTAAACATGGTTGGTTCAAAAATGTACCGAAGCTCACACAGCAGGGCCACGCCGCGCTCTTCACTGTAGTTGAGGATTCCAGTAAGATGCCGGCCGGTATTTTTTTTCATGTTTTGATCCATTGAACTCCTAAGATTGATCCTCTGAGTCAGATTTCGTTTTCGTGTCTCACCTTCTGACCACTCTCAAACTTTCCTCTTACCATCATGGCCGACGCAGAAACACTTATCAAAGAACACGGAGACTTGGCCTCGGAGGACAAGGAGGAAGCGGTCCATCCCCAAGTCGACATTGACTCGTCGACACTCACACCTCTATCTCCCGAGGTAATTTCTAAACAAGTACGTTACTCACTTGGTTCTCAGAGTCTGGTACTCACACATCCTCCTATCTCTACAGGCCACGATTAATCTCGGTAGTTATAACCGCGGGGCTGATAATTCGGTGCTCATTGCCTCACAGGTACAATCGGTCACGTCGCACATGGAAAATCCACCGTCGTGAAGGCCATCTCGGGCGTTACAACTGTGCGGTTCACCAACGAGCTCGTTCGGAATATTACTATCAAACTTGGTTACGCGAATGCAAAGGTGCGCAGCCCCAATGTCGCGATGTATATAATCGAATTGGCCTTCACCATCCGTAGATCTATCAATGCGAAAATCCCGCCTGCCCGAGGCCGGGATGCTACCGTTCATACCCATCCAACAAGGAAGACCACCCTCCCTGCGAGCGTGCGGGATGCAATTCGAGAATGAACCTGGTCCGCCACGTATCGTTCGTCGATTGTCCGGGTCATGATATTCTGATGGCTACCATGCTGAATGGCGCGGCGGTTATGGATGCCGCGCTTCTTCTCATTGCGGGAAATGAAACCTGTCCCCAGCCGCAAACATCCGAGCATCTCGCCGCCGTCGAGATCATGCAGCTGAAACACCTTATCATCTTGCAGAACAAAGTCGATCTCATCCCGGCGACTCAAGCCGCGGAGCATCAGAAGAGTATATCTGCGTTTGTGGAGGGTGGGTTTTTCTCCCATTCTTTATTCTTGATCTTGAACCATCCCCAGGAACGGTCGCCGCAAACTCGCCTATTGTCCCCATATCCGCCCAACTCAGATACACCATCGATGCGGTCAACGAATATATCGTCAAACACATCCCGATTCCTGTGCGCGACTTCACATCCGACCCACGTCTCATCGTGATCCGCTCCTTCGACGTGAATAAGCCGGGCGCGGCCGTCGACGATCTCATGGGCGGCGTCGCTGGTGGTTCTATCCTCAGGGGTGTTCTCCGGATCGGCCAGGATGTCGAGATTCGCCCAGGTGTGGTGACAAGGGACAACACTGGCCGTAACCAATGCAAACCCATCTTCACCCGCATCACGTCGCTGCACGCGGAAAACAATCTCCTGGACTTTGCCGTGCCTGGTGGCTTAATCGGTGTCGGCACAAGAATCGACCCAACGTTGTGCCGCGCAGATCGTCTCGTCGGTCAGGTCCTCGGCGCAGTAGGTACCCTTCCCAATATATACGCAGGTGAGTAGTGATTATTCCTTCGCTATTCTTTTCATGAATGCCCGGCAGAACTGGAAATAAGCTTGTTTCTCCTGCGCCGTCTTCTTGGCGTCAAGTCGGAGGACAAGAAACAAACCAAAGTGTCGAAACTCAGCAAGGGCGAGTTCCTCCTCGTCAACATCGGCTCGACCTCCACGGGTGGGAGGGTCTTGGGCGTCCGCCTCGACGAGGCCAAGGTCGAGGGCAAGAAAGTTCAGGCGACCATGGCGAAGGTCTTGTTGACGTCGCCGGCGTGTACTGAGATTGGGGAGAAAGTCGCGTTGTCGCGCCGGATCGAGAATCATTGGCGGCTGATAGGTGATTGGGGTTTTCGTATGAGCGTCCAAGTTCGCTGACTGTCTCTTTGTAGGATGGGGGACTGTGCAGCGTGGTACAGTGTTGAAAGTGGACTAGTTCTTGCTTGTCGTTTATTTCTCCGTGTAATATTAATGCCTCCACCGCGTGAACTTGTAATTCTTCTACCTGACTCCAAGCATTACCGTTCAGGAGAGCAGGAGTGCCGTGGTGTTCTTTATCCAGAATGATTACCGTCGCAGTAACCAAGTATTGAAACGCAAGACCCACATGAACCCCAAGGTAGAGTCACAAAGGTTGAGCCTTGACAAGGCGAATCGTCGTGATTTCAGAACCCTAATGAGTCCAGAATAACTGGCCGGGCTCTCACTTGCCAGATTGTTTCTTCAGCGACGGATCCTGAATGGATTCCATAACGTGCTGCGGGTGTACGTATACAAAAAGCGTCAGTCCGCTCTACGATAAGTATAAATTACAATACAATGATAGTTCATCACTCCGGGCGGTTCAACAGATTACTTCAACGCAAACGGAAATATTCTTGTGCGTGAAAAGCAATCATTTAAAGGCGGATGTCACTGAAGGCATGAATGATATTATCAACCAACCTGAATAGAACGGGCTCCGAGGCAATCGCACCATAAAATCGCACCACGCAGGCCCGTCGTCCGCAAACCTGGACTTTGTCCCGGGATGTGTCACAAATCGCACCGTCCTGTCCTCGAAGCGCGGCGGATTCTCGCGGATCGTGCATTCAGAGGGCCGGCGAGTTACAGGGCGATCAGCCTCCTCCGGCTCGTCAGGCATGGGTACCTCAGGCAGTACCAACGAATTGCGGCGCTTCCCGTTTGGTCGCTGACGGCGTCGCGAAAGGATGCGTTTCAGGCCGCGGGGTTCTGAAGTCTCTGGACAGGGTCATCAGAAATATAGGCGAAAGCCGAGCAATTAGAGGACGTACGAATAAGCGAATCCCCCTCAACGCACTGGCGACCTTTTCTGCTGTCAAGGAAGGGCATTGGCATCATCAGAATTGCCGAAACACCACGCTAAGAAGAAAATAAACGTCAGTACATTTCGGGGAGTAGCCCGCGCTCGACTCACT